CACACCTACTTTGTGCGCCAAGATAATTCATGGAAATATTAAATATCAGTCCCAAGACCGATCCTTAAGGAAATCCGATAACGACTTCCCTCCGCCCACATAATTCCCCTTTCCGCATGGCCTGACGGTGTCTCTCACTCGGCCAGTTCTTTACTGATCTTACCGCTCTCGTACCAGTCCCCAGTAGCATCTAAATTAGACATTTAATCTATAACTTCCCACGCAGCACTGAATCAAACGTGTTCCCTGACGTCCAGATGAACTGGATCCCCTGCAATTAGCCTGAAAAGTCGGAAGACTAACACGGCTGGCTACCGCTCTTTAGCCCAAAGAGGTCAGCGTATTTGGGCACAGCACCATCTTGGGTGAACACTTGTTGCGTTTTTCCCGCTTTCCATTTTTCTCCGCACCTTTTCGTGCTTCCTTCAGCATGTGTCCTGGACCCGGGAGCAGTCCTGAGAAGAGGCTGTAGCCGCCCGCCCACGTGCTTTCCTCCTTGCTCAGCCGTGGCTGTTTCGTGTCCCAGTGGCACCTCTGATCCGACAGCGCCACTCAGACCTGCGCATCCAGTGAGGTGTAGACGTGGCGGCCGTGTCGCCCCTTCCTCTCGCTTCGTCCTGGGGGCTCCCCAGGTTTCCGGGCTCCTTCGGTAACTGGCCACGCTCCCTCCCTCCAGGCCAAGGCAGCTGATGAAGAAAGCTGGAACAAGGTCTGCAAGTCCCCCGGGGTCGAGGAGGAGGTGAAGACGGTGCCCTCCGTGATGGAGCCGAGGAGACCGCTCCCGGGGCGCCTGGACCGATTCCCTCGGGCTCTTGCAGCGCACGAGGTCTGGGTGCTGGGTAGCCGTTCTCTTCCGTTTCTCGAACTCTTCTGGCATTTAGGACTACTTAAAATGAATACGTGCTTGAACGGATACCCCGCCCCGCCGTTAGCCGCGCAGCTATCCGCAGCTCTCTGGCCACCGCAGATCACGCGCCTCCAGGAAAAGTGCGAGAGCTGCGCTGGGAAGGGGGCGCACGTTTCCCAAGGGCGCGACGTGCCACGGGCTCTTCCAGAGCCGGACTTCGTGCCCAAGAATAACTTCCATCCAGTCTTGCAGCTGACTAGTAGGAGCGATCCTGTGGCGGCGCGGTCTCGTCGGAGGCACTTGGAGCATCCTTAGGGCGTCGAGCCCTGGCAGGCAGCGAGAAGCTTGGGAAACCCGTCTGGGGCAGCTGACCCCACGCATGCCTGACTGCTAGCAAACATCCGGGACGCGCGTGATGACCTCAGTCGGCGGCCTCGTTACGCACCAGGAACCTCCCTGGTCCTGATGGAAACAATGCCCCGTGGGCATGCAGGCGGCGCGAGAGCTCCTCGTGGGAAGCCAGCCCGGGCACGTGGACGTCACTGCTTTCCCGGTGCCATTGTGTCTCCGGGGCTGGCCTCCTTTCCCATAGAGAGCTTGACCTTTGCGGTGGAGTAGACAGGCTGGAAAAGGCCTTTCCTTAAGTGAGTGGAAAGTTATGAGCCAAGGCGACACGGCCATTGTTGCAGATGACAGAGGGAAAGCTCTCGACACGTTAATTTATTGTCACCCGCGGAGGAAGAACAAATCTGCGGTTTGTCTTGGAGCACTGTTTCAGGAAGAAACCTGGGAGGGCCCTGGCCAGGGAGCCCGGCCTCTCCCTCCATAAATCACGCTGCGTTTACAGCGGTAATGAGGTGCAGCTTCTGGGAAATGAACACTTGGTTGCGGCGCACACCTGACCGGCTGGGGTTTGATTTGATGCGGCCCCAAGCTCGATTGGGAAATTGCCGTTTGAACGGGGAAGGGCCGCGTGCCTCTTCTGGAGCTTCTGCCACTGGCGGGTCGGAGACATCCAGGCAAGAAGAGCTTTTCTGGGGGCGTCTTTCAGCACCAGCCCACTCTGCCAGGGTGCCAGGCTGGCGCTGATCCAGAGACTTGTCCTCTTTCAGATCCCCGTCGTGCTGCTTGTGGGAACACGGCCGATGGTCGGGTGTTGGATGCACACGCTCGTTCGCGGTCACCTTGTGTGCTCCCACGCAGACCGTGTAGCGGGCGCACAAAGTGCGTATCACGATGGCCTGTGATCCCTTATCTGTCGCAGCCTAGACAGTATGTCCGTTTGCAAGAAGACATTAGATAAAGACTTGTCCAGGACGGTTTGGACAGGCTGATCCTGTCTCAGGCAGGGGGCGGACTAGATGTGACCTCGACCCCGCTTCCAGCCCGGCTTCTTTATGAGTCTTGACCCAATTCAAACGACAAATATTGCAGGCTCCTTTGCTTGCAGTAGGACTTGGGAAGTCCTTCCATGTCCTGGGAAGATGGACCAGGAAGTCCGGTGTAAATGCTTCTGTTCCTGGGGCAACTCCCCGCAGTCTGACTGAACTGCGCCTGTGCGCTGGATGTTCGCAGGCAAAAGCAGAGCGAGTCGGGGGGCTTGCGAGTAAAAACGATCAATATACAAGCAGCCTCGACTCTCCCGACGTCAGTGGTACTAGGTTGTCTTGCCCCATGAGTAAATGTAGCCCTTTCGGCCTCTCCCTGTGGGAAGAAATAAGCAAGACTTGGCCTTTTCCAGCGGGGTCCCGGTTGCCGTCCCCGTGCGGCTGCCGAGCTGGGGCAGGTTGGGCCCCGGTTGGAGAGCCCCTCTCTGTGCAGCGACGACTTGCTGTGCACCCCGAGTCCTGCCTTCTCCACGCAGCTGGAGTTCAGGCGAGGCCAGACCTGGCGAGTGTTGAAATCAGAATCAATTGATCTTAATTGTTCTCGCCCTGTGACTGCTGTTTGTAAACAGAAAGCCGGTCTCCGCTGTCGCACCTGCCTGACCCCGGAGAGGCAGCACCAGGCAGGTGTTGCTGAGCAGTCGCTCCTGTAGAAGGAAGCAGCAAATTGGGGAGGGAAGGAACGTCCTCTCTTAGAGATCTGCCAGGATTTGGGGTAATGGTGGAGCCGCGCTGCTGCAAGCCTCGGCTATAAGCAGCGCGGGCCAGGGACTGCACCAGGGTGGCGTGCAGCTTTCCTTGCCTGCGCCAGCGTCGTGCATGGACGCACACGGGATCGATTCGGTGTAGCCGGTGTTTCTTCGAAGACCGCAGCACTTACTGATGAAGGAGCACTGGGCAGAAAGCCGTCCCCAAGAGGAAGATGTTGCCAGAGGTGTTCCTCCTGAGCATCCAGCATCCCTTGATGCCCAGACCCTGCTCAGCTCCTGCCCTCCAAATGCAGGTTGCACAGCGGTTTAGCGACTGCTCAAGGCCTAAAGAGGTCCCTTCTCCTGCCCACGTGGTAGAACACCTCCGCGGATCTACCAGCACCGCCTGGGTGGAGGCGAGCGTACCCCTCGCAGCCGCCAGGTCGGACAGCACCACCCTGTTCTGTCGGCTGGCTGAGCCCCCGGTACGGGAGTCTTATACTGAGGGAAATTTGCTTTGGAGAAAGAAATGTTGGTTTCCAGCCTTCTCTTCCTCCTCAGGTGCCCTTCTTGCCCTGCTTCTGAAGCCAGGGCCTGACTCCGGACATTGTGCCGGCAGCGTCCCTCACCGCGAGGATCACAAAGCACGTTCAAAACACTGAGCACGCTCCCAGAAAGGTGCTGTCCTACAGCAACAAGGACAAGGACGCCAGACCAGAGGAATCATGGCAGCGATTGCCGGTCCTCAAGCCCTGCCGTCCCATGGTCTTCCAGCAGAATCCCGGAAGAGGCAGCGCCAAACCCCTGGGAGCAGGGTGGCAAAACCCTGGACTGGGGCTGGATGCAGGACGCTTATCCCCAAGCCTGGCTGTGATGATACAACCCAACAGTGTCTCGACTGCAGAGTACACGCGAGGTGCACGCGCGCTTGTGGCTGCAAATATGGACTCGGAGCTGCAGTGAGATGCAAGTGTGACCGTGGCCAGAGCCTAGTGACCTGGGCCTGAGCTGCGCTTGTGGCAGACAGGCCTCGGCTCTGCCTTGGGACGGTGGGCAAAGGCAACACCCAGTGATTAAGGACAGCATATTCAAAAAATATATCTTTATTTCCAGCTTTTGTGCTGTTAAATATTCAGTTAAAATAAGATACATTTTATTGCACGCTCGGGCACATGGCTCTTTGCTCTCCCTGTTTAACATAGACGATCAGTGTATAAACGCAGACCGTCTCCGACAGCCGGTCCCACAAGCACGCGAAGGGCCCGTCCTTGCCATCCGCACGGCCTGCCCTAATCGGCTACAGGAAGGCCATAGCAGAGCTGGCTGGGAAGAGGGGGCTGAGTTGTGGGGGCGAGTCCACCCATCCTAAAGTAGCATTCCCATGCACGTGGCCTGGGGTCCAACACACGGATGAGAGAACAAAGGGAGCTCCAGCCTTGCCGCCAGACTCAGACCCGCTGCGCTGCGGGCCACGGGGATTTTGCTGTTCACTCCACGCACTACAGAATTGGGATCTGGATGTCCTTGTTCACGTGCTTGCGGCAGGGAAACTTATAACTGAAAGGTCTAAGCTGTCCTGGGAGAAGAGGTACGAGCAGTGACACTTTCAGCAGCTGTTTTGAAATCCAGGGACTGTCTCGTTGGGCTGGAGGCCGAGAGGGTCTGGGCTGTGGTAGTACTAGTGCACGGGGCATTCATACAATCATAGGAAATTCAGGTTGGAAGGGAGCTCAGGAGGTCGCATTTAGACCAACCCCTGCTCCAAGCAGGACCAGCCCCAGCTACATCACCCCAGCCAGGGCTTTGAGTACCCGGGTCTTCAACACCTCCAAGGGTGGAGACTGCACCACCCCTCTGGGCAGCCTGTTCCAGTGCTTTACTACCCTCCTCATGAGAGAGCTTTTCCTAATATCCAACCTCAATTTCTCTTGCTGCAGCTTGAGCCCATTGCTCCTTGTCCTGTCATCTGCCCCCACTGAGACCAGCCCAGCTCCATCCTCTTTGCAGCCCCTGGCAGGGAGGTGAAGGCTGCTATTCAATCCCCCTCCGTCTTCTCTTCTCCAGACTCAATCAGTCCAGTTCCCTCAGCCTTTCCTCACCAGTCCTGTCCCCCAGCCCCAAACCACTGTCATTGCCCTCGGCTGGACTCTCTCCAATGTGTCCACTTCCTTTCTGCAGTGGGGGGGCCACAGCTGGAATTTGGGAACAGAGGATACTAGGATCAGTGCATCTTCTGTCTGCTCTTCCCGTCACACCTGGCTGCAGGGATGTCAGAGCAGTGGCTGTACTAACTGCTGGGGATGGGGACGGGGACGGGGACGGGGGATTTGTTACCACTGCCCTGGGGGAGGGGATTTCTTCTCCCTCCCAGCCCTGGCGACGTGCCACGCTCTGGGTGTTGGAATAGACCGCGCTAGCGCTGGGGCGATATTTGAATGGCGGTCTCAGGCCAGGGGTCTTGGGCCATGACTGAAATGACTGTGAGAAGGGGGCTCCAAGGGTTCCCAGCGCCTGCACAGCTCACATGAGATCCTGTGGGTACAGGAGCAGCTGGCTGGGCTGTGTGAAGACAGGCCTCCCCTTGTAGAGACAAGACTCGTTGTTCTGCCTTTGCTTTCGGACACTGGAAAGGACCGTTTTGGGACTGACTTCAGCTCCCTTATCCCAGTGGGGTAATAACTGGCTCTGGGAGTGGTTCTTTTGGCTTTAAAGTTCTCCACCCTGGACCAGGAGCCACGCTGCCAGTAAGGCCTTGAGTGGAAGGGGTTACAGATTAACGCCACGTTTTCCTTTCCCCTCGCAGCACGGGGCATCTGGGTGGATGTCACTCTCCTCCCAACCCTCCCTCTCTCCCAGCAACGGACTCTGGCCTCCCCTAAGGCCTGGCCTGGCCCGTGCACCGGGATGCCGATGCGGAGCCGCGAGCAGTCACAGCATTAGCACCAGATGGGTGACCGATGTGCAGCTTGTCCGCAATGTTTGTCATTGTCTTCGTGAAAACACAAGCTCTTTGCTGCTGGAGATGCCAGGCCTGCCGTGCCCTCCGGCCAAGCCCTCGTGCCTGGTGCTTGCTCAGGGATGCTTTTACCAGAAAGCTCCAAATCTCCCACTTTGGAGTCCAAACACCATCCGCCCCCAAGGGCAAACCCCCAGATGCATGCCCGTGGCTCCTGGGGCACACGCCCACTGTCTTTGGCACCGACACGAGGAGATCAATACTGCCTCAGCGGCTCTCGGTCTCTAGTGTGTCAGGCAGCTGTTCTGTAAATGTGGTGTCTAGCCGTAAAGTGCTGTAGTTGGGTGGGGGAGTCCTGGGCAAGTGATTTTCCTGGGGCAGTGGCAAGCGAAGGGCAGTGTTAAAGGTGGGCAAGTCCTCGTCGATGCACGCAGGGTTGTCGTGGCCTTGCTTGCCTGGACCGGTCCCCGGGGCAGGCGCCTGGCTCTGCTTGGCCTTTCGGGAATTCCACCATTTCTTTGTCTTCTGCCAGCGGCGCCGCATGATGATGGAGAGAGAGTCAATGAAGAAAACCTCGACAATCTCAATGACACACACCACGGAGCAGCTCATCCACAGGCCCAGCTGGCCCCCGAAGTTGGAAAGCAGAATGACAATCTGGAGTAGGAGGGAGCACAAGGTTATTTGGAGCTCGCCGGGAACAGCAGCAGGGGTGGTCACAGAGGGCACAGCAGGCCAGACAACGAGGGCTGCCTGCCCGAGAGGGAAAACTGATCGCTAAGGGAGGGCACAACAGCGTGGGCCAGTCTCTATTTCCTGACAACTCCACTCTTGCTCCAGACATAGAAGCCAGTATTTACATGGAAATGTCTCTTAAGCCTTGTTTTGGGGCAGCTGATAGCAGAGAGGTGCCCATGTCAAGGAGGACAAGGACTGAATGGGTTTTGGAGACTGCACGAGATGGTTCTGCCTCAGGCAGTGGTTGGACTAGGTGACTTCTGGAGGTCCCTTCCAGCCCCACTGCTCTGCGGCTCGGACTGAACGCCCTCACAAGCCTGGGGGCAGTTGCCAAAGGGCAGGATGGCGGGCACAATGGAAGGCACCTCGTGGGAACCCTTGTCCTGCCACTGCCTGTGCCAGGCACATCTTGGGGCTTTGGAGCAGCTTCCACCAGCGCTGAACTGAGTCGTACTTACGCTGTTGGCAGGATTCTCAGAAATGAATCTCTTGTTCAGGTCTTTGTAAAACACCATCAGGTTTGCGAGGTCCGTTCTGAAAAGGGAGAGGAGGGAGCAGATCCAGGCGTTAGTAAAACTATAACATGAGACGCGCTGAAAAATTATTTAAATAACCAGTTGGACAAGTAGGGCCAGGCCAGTCCAAGAGAACTATTTTTCCAATTGCTGTCATTAGGGCTGCAGAGATTGTATCTGAGCTGGAGACACAGGCTAAGAACACCCAGGGAGAAACTTACTTCTTTAACATCTTGTTGATTTTCTGCCCTTTGTCCCAAGAGAGGACCCGGAGCATCCAGTCCTGAGAAAATAAGAGCACAAAGCAGCAGCCGTGAACACCGGAGTGGTGGCCCCAGGGGCGAGAGCCCACCTCATGCCTGCTTCATTCGGATCGGGATTCCCGGTCGGACCAGAATGCCTGGTGCGAGGGGCAGCCAGGACCCAAGGGCAAGGTGGCAGTTCAGGCGGGCAGCTGTCTGGGTGGGAATATTGTCCTTGCCGCTGGGCCTGGAGGCCTTGTGCACTGCAGGTAGAAGCACCACGGGGCTGCTCTAAAGGTGTAAAGGTGCCTCACTTCAGAGGCTGCACCCCAGGGTCTACCTGGCACTGTGGGGGCTGCAAGGCTTCTTCCCTCCCCTTTCATTCTGACTTGCCATTCTCTCTATGTAACCTGCCTCCCCACCATGCAAAATCTAGGCTGTTCCCACCATCCTGGAGGGGGCTGCGAACCTCTGGAGGATGTGGAACGGCACCATTAGCAGCCCTGGCCGGAAGAGAGCGTGCCAGCCTGGCAGAGCTCTCGGGGTGTGAGGCACAAGACAACGCTGGCCATGCTGGAAGCAGCCCCTATTACCCTCACGGCATCACAGCTGAGCACAACTGGGGCTTACCTCTGAAGCGGTGGATGGCCACTGGGCTATGCTGGTGGTGAGCGCCCACTCCTTAAAGCTAGGAAGAGAAGAAGCATTGTGTGAGCCACAAGTCTGAATTCTTGCCCGCGGAAGTTTTATATTTCCTGCCTGGTTTGTGGTGGGACATACCTGCAGGCTTCTTTGCACTTCTGCTGACAGTCCAACTGCTCCTTCACAAACTTCTCGTGCAACTTATAGTAGCAGTACACTGGAAAGAGAGCCCAGGGTCAGAGTCTCAGGAGGACACGAGGAAGACTGGCCGTGGGGGGACTGCTGGGAAGGGGCTTAGATTGAAGATCTACCTTGGCCTTACTGCCTCATCTGTGTGACCTCGGGCAGGTCCCCTCAGGCCCCTTTGGGTCTCTGCTCCAATACTTTCCTTGCACAACCAACCTCAAACTCAGGTGGGGCCTCTGAATGCTACTGTAATACCAATTATTAATAAGCCCTTAGCGAGGTTCAGGGACAAGCTGGGCATGAGCTTCCAGGCTCAGCAATAAAAGGATAATCAGTGTAGCCTGTGTAAGTCTGAGGCAGCTTGCTGTTTCCTACTGCTCCGAGGGCTTGTGTGGGGGTCTGCTGAGCTGGGATGTGCCTGTCAGGGGCATTTGCTGGCTGCAGCTGGGCTGGAAAGGAGCCTGTGTGGGTGGGTTGCTCATGCTCTTAAGAACTTACTCCAGCTGGGATGTTTCTTGTAGTTGCAGTACTCGGCCCCAGCAGGCAAGGGCTGGGCATACTGGGCACAGCCGCAGTGATCCACCATGGCCTTCTGGAAGCAGGAGTGAAGGCAAATCTGTAAGGGGGGAAAAAAATCCCACCGCTGAGTTTCCAGGAGTCGACAACTGGGCAACTCCCTTCCTGCTCCATGCACACAAGGTTGGAGCTGCGGCAGCCACAGGATCCAGACCCTGATTCTCTATCCCCCCTCGGCGTGTTGAGAGTAACCGAGGGCAGAAACCCCATCGTACCGGCTGACCGGGCCCGCTGCTGGCTGCGTCTAAAACAATGACACGGGGGGGAGCTGAGCAGCAGAGAAAAGCTGGGCCAGAAATAAAGACGCTTTCTCTTGTTGCGGGCAGCCTCGGTGTTACCCTTATTTCCTCCCCTGCCTTCAAAGTCTTCCGCACGCGTCTTGAGCCACCCACCCTCGAGCTGCCCTGCGTTGGAGTCTGAGAGCAGGCAGCAAGGGAGCGGAGGTCAGCAGAAAATGTCAGCAGATTCTGCCCGTTTCTGCTGATGCCTGTTTAGCAAATGGCATTTCCCAGGACTAGCAGACTTGCTGCTCTGTTTCAGGGGCATTGCTGACTACAGCACGTCGAATTTTCTGTAGGTAGGCACCGAGCTTCCCACTGTGCGCGGGGGTCCATGCTGTAGTGAACTAATCCTACTGGGAGCCCAGGGGCCGTCTGTCTGACCCTGTCTGTCCCCCCATCACAGGAGGCTGCATTGTTAATAGTCATTAAAATGAAAATTAGCCCCTTGGCTCTGGATTTACAAGCAGCAGGTAATACAAGAGCAATTGGAATTATAGCCCTTGCAGTGCAGAATGACTGGCACCCTCGAGGAGGAACCAATTAAAGAAGCTATGCAAAATTAATGGAAAATTAAATCAGCAAGCATCCTGCTAGTCAGACACTGATTAGATGGTATCAGTTATTTCTGGAGTCCTACAGGTCACAATTTCTGGCTTCAAGGGCTAATAAGCTTCACCATTTGCTCAGCTGGGATTCGCTAGTCCAGCAGTCCCAGAAAAGCGCCTGATGAGTTCATTCTTTCTTTATCTGACAAAAATCCCCAAGGCAACTTCAACCTTCACCTGCTTGGGAATAGTCCTGACTTACAAAGTACTCTCATACTTGACAGCAATGATCCAAGACACTTTATCCTATGCTAAAGCCATTGCAGGTCTTGGGGTATCACGGTAGAGTGCTGCAGAGCTGTTTATACATGTCACGCCCAAATACTTGACAAATCAAATGTAACAGAGCCTTACCTGGAGAGAGTAGGTCTTGTTGTAGAGGTTTTCCACATTTATATCCGCGCCAGTCTCTGTGCAGTCGCTGTATGGTTCACTGAGCTTGCGAGACTGTGTCTGAAACCCAGAGAAGAGCAGATGTTGATTTGAGAGAGCACAAATGAGCTGAAGGACAGAGACCACCGAGTACCACTTTGCTGATACCCAGGGATTGCCGTTCAAACTGAAACAAGGATGGGGCAGGTCTGAACTGTGATTTGCCTTTCGTTGCTTCACTGAAATATTCTGGGGCCTCTTAATAACTTGCCAAATGGGTAAGGCTGTAGCTGTCCCATCTCTACAGCCATCTCTACAGGTGTTACGGATGTGTGAGGGTGGATGCTGGCACAGTGTAGTATCAGAGGTGAGGCTTTCCTTTGTTTAACTTTGCTGGTGAAGATGCCAGCGAGCCTGGTACCTGGGCACTGCAAAGGATTATGGCTGGATGTACTGACACAGCAGTGATTGGGCAAAACCCACGTAACTAAATTATGGGACCAGTGAGACGCTGCATCTTCCTTCTGCTTCCTACATCTGTACAACTAGCTGTGCTTACCACAGAAGCTGCCTGTTTAGAAACCTGGCAGGTATAATCCCCAAATTATGAAAGAGCAGCATAGCTTCTGTAATGTCCTCAGGCACACTCTGAAATCCAAGCCTCTCACGGTCAGTGCTGGGCTCTTCAGGCAGGTCCTCGACATGGCAGTGGATTTGTAATAGTCGCGTGTCATTTTTATAGGGAACTCTGCCCACCTGTACCAACGGGATGTACCCTCCTGGATTACAGGCCACGTTCCTAATGCAGTTATGCCACTGAGTCCATGTCTAGGTCAGAAATATTGACAAATCTGCTTGTGTGCGACATCTGGACTGTACTGGTCATTGACTTTAAACAGGTCTTGTCTTGGTGATGGGGTGTGCAAGCCCCACCAGGCTGGACAGGGTTAATAAACCGCTGTCAGCACAATCAGCCCCACCTGCTGCACCTGAGGCCTGGGAGAAGAGGCTAAAGATGAGACCCTGATCAGCTGGGTGGGAGAGAGCAGAAACTTTTGGTCCTTGCTGCAGGCAAGGTCTCACCTAGTGTGGACCTGGAGGGTGATTGGTAATCCGGGCCAGGGGGAGGGGGGTGCCAGCTTGCCTGTGGAGGAGAGTGGGTTGATGGACCAACAACCGCTGGGCTGGGAATGAAGCCCAGATGGGAAAGATCCCTTCCTTGCCTTGGCTCTGGGGCTGTGGCAGTGGGTCTGGGATGTCCGTAACACGTGGCTTTGCTGGCTAGGTCACAAGTGACTGGAGGGGCACACAGCACCGCTAGGAAAATCTTATGTCCTGTCACAAGGAAATGCATGGTGCAGGGACCTTACCACAGCTTCCAGGGGGTTTGGCTTGGTTTTCTTACCCTAACTATGGTTAAAACCTCTAGAAGCTGTCTCAGTTCTTCACCCCCTTAGCCATTCATGCCTTCTCCTATGTTGTCCTCTCTACCTGGAATCAAGGGCTCTATAGTGACGGGTCCATAGAAGTTAAAAGTGTTTGGCAGCTTCTGAGATGAGCCTCAGGTGCACCTAAGCATCTCGCTTACCTCCCCAAATCTCTTGCGTCCACTGATCCTTCCACTGCCTGCTGGCCTGTCTCACCTATGGTAACTGTTATATAACATCCAAGAATATGTTTCTGAACCACAAGGAAGGCCATAGTTCAGCAGCACGTGCTCAGACCTTGGCCTGCCCTTCCCCCTACCTGCATGCTGTTTAAATTATCCACTAGTTCTGCAATGGGCCTGTTGTTGTGGACCTGCCAAAGGGGCTCGACTATGAAAGCAAGACAACTGAGGATACGTTTTTTTGTTAGGCACTATCATTTTTGCATGCAAGTATCATGCACAGCGCTTTTATGACAGAAATACTGATGCCTAATAACTCTGGCTGCGATGACAGGAGACTGCCTTGTGTGTGATGCAGCTCAGTAGCTTTAGTAAGAGCTGCAGTTGCCTTCTGTTTGGGTTCTAACTGTTCTGTTGGCGTACTTCTGTGTGCCAACAGAAACGCATGTGCATCTGCTGTGTGTCTAGAAGCCCACGCTTCCATGTGAGAGACCATTCCTGGATGCAGCCGGGCCATCCATGGGAGCCAAATCTCTTTAGTCCTACCTGACAAATGTGCTTCCCCCTAATGCTTTCTACTGCATGAGATGATCTTTTTTTAGGGTGCCACGATGTTAATCATCTAAAGATTCAGAATGTTTTTGCATCTATTTTGTATCAGTTACTGGGAAGAATCTCAGGCTTGCATGGCCTCAGTTTTTTCTGTCTGAATGACCATTGTTTTTTTGCTGAGTGCCATGTCCTGACTAGGGGCTGCTGATGCCAACAGATGCCCAGCACTAGCTTTGGGGAATGCCAGGTGAACAATGCCTTTCAGCGATAACTAGCTGTCCTGGTAGAGCTTTACTAGTGATTCGCACAGATGGGAGGTCTTATCTGGTAGGCAGCAAACAGGGCCGTGGACCCAAGGCTGGGTTTGGAGGGCGATAAGCCAGAGAACTTGTAATGTAGACTGTGTTGGGCAGGGGTGTGACTGGCTGTGCTGGCAGAAGAGGACTCCTGCTCCCCCCAGGGAAGTGGTATAAGAAGAGGGGTAGCAGAAAGCCTCCTGCTATCTGTCCCAGGGCCACCAGCCAGCCTGTAATGCAGACAGGCCCTGAGCATCTACAGATGTAAACACCCTGCTGCTGATGGCCCAAGCTTGGCTCCACCCTAAAACCCACTAGCCTCATTGAATCCTCCTCCTCCTCCTCTGAAAGGCAATATAAACATGGCTTTCTCCTGCTTTTTTAAAGTAGATAGCTGGTGTGGGCTCTCCACACAGCTGGCTGATAGCACATTTGAAACAGTCAGCCTGACTCCTGCTGTCCTTTCTAATGCAGGGAGGTTTGGGATGTGGCACACCCAGCCACGCCAAACGAGCAGTTTAGCTGGTGTTTCTGATACAGCCAGCCTAACAATCCTGACTTCACTGCCCATCCAGGTGCTGGGAAAGTTTGTATTACTCAGCGTTGTTTTCCCAGCAGCTCAGCAGAAACCCCTTGGGTCACAAGGCTTGGTTTGCACTTCTGGCATCCTCTAGCACTGCACTGATGCCCCCCACCCTGGCTAAATGCTCGTGTCGGTGCAAAGGCAGCACCCAGAAGGGTCTTCACGGCCAGGAGAGCGAGATGATAAGCGAGCGCAGGACCCGTCTACCCCACCAAAGCAGCCATGCATGGCTTGTGCTGTTTGGACCTGGCTATAACACAGTCCGACACATCTGCTCTGCCTAGCTCAAACCTGCCTCAGCCACAGCTGTGTCTGTACTGTGCTACAGCAAAGGGTGTGTGCTACTGTCTGATGGGGGCTAGATTTTTTGCTATAGAAAACCAAGTCCTTAAGCAATCCATGGTGGGGTGCGCACAGAACCCTGGTGGGTGTGGGACTCCTGGAGGGCTGGCTCTCCAACCATCCTGTGTGAGCAATAAGGCAGGGTTCAGAAAACTGCCAGTGCATATAAATGCTGGTTATTCCCCTCTGGCCTCGAGTATCAGATCTCCAGACCCAGGGTGTAAATGCACCTCTCTACCTCTGTGCTGACACTTGTGGCTATGCCACATTCATTTGGGCCTGTCTCTTACACGTGGCATTGGTATCTGAAAGCTGCATGCCCGGGGAGCAAGATCGTAGTCACTCACAAAATGCATCCCTATGGAGGTGGCAGTCGCCGTCTCGATCTCTGTGCCGATATCTTCAATGAAGGGATATTCATTTTGGTCGTGGATGATGATCTTGGCCCCAGTTGATGTCACCAAGAAGGGATTGTAGTCTGCTTCCTCTATGTAAAGGACAACCTGTAATCCTGCAGAACAGAGCAATGGCATACTTAGTCTAGGATATCGTGATCTCTATGATCCTATAAGCTAGAGCTCTTTCTCCAGGGACGAGGCAGGGAGAGCAGTGCAGTCATTAAGTGCAATTGTTAAGATACCAGTTGGGTGTATTAATGCCAGGCCAAGCACAGCTGCAGCTATTATCAGCTTCTGACAGCATCCAGCACGAGTAACAACAGTACCAGTCGAGGTGGTTACTGAATACCCATTAAAAGTTATATAACAGGGAGGAATGATTTCAGATGGAACATGCTGGTGATGCAATGATGCCACCTCTTTATTCTTTGGCGGTAGCCTGGAGAAGAACTTGTTTGAACCCGGCCAGTCAGGTTACACATCTCATGCCCGTGTCGGCTGCCCTCCCCCCACAACCAGAACGATCAACGTTTTACTGAACAACCTGCCTTCTACTACCACGGTTCCCTTACCGTACTCGCTGCCTCCAGTGGAGGTGCTCAGGATCGTCCCATTCTCTCCACTGTTGAAGGTGTAGCAGTTGCCGTGCAGCGGGTGATAGAACGGAGTGAAGTTTCTAAAAGAGACCAGAGACGCTGTTCATGCTGCGTTCTGCAATCTAACTGCCTGTGGCAATGCAAATGTCTCGCCCTTTCTCCAGCCTGAGCATCTAAACTCTGGTGATGTTGGAGAGCAAGCAGGACTAGACCGTGGGGTGTTTTCCCCCCTGGAAAATCTGGTTTTGGTCATCTTGACCCTATGTGTAAATGTGTCCTGGACTCAATAAATTGTTTCAGCTGAGTTGTGTTTTTTTCCCACCCCCTCTGTTCCCCCAGGGCTAGATTAAAAAAAGAGGAGTTGGTTGTGCCAGGGCTGCTGCTCATCTTGCATCCAGTGTTTGGGGCTTCCACATGGGATATGGGAGCCCTGGGTTCAATTCCACCCTCTGCTTGCAGGGTTTGACTCTGTTACTTCGCCCCTGCCAGGGGAATCCCACGACACCAGGTTACAGGGTATTTCTGAGGGAGTAAGTCTCCCTCAGTTCCTCTGCTGGAGACCGTTTCACTTTGTATAAAATACTATAATGTTCATTGAGCTAGCAGCACAGGGTGAGAGTGACTGTCTAGCCTGGCGGCTCAGGCTCTCACCTGGCAGGTGGGATGTATAGGTTCCAGTCTAGCAAATATTTAAGTATTTTTATACAAAGTGAAACAGCATCAACGGAGGCGTTAACAGCAAACCTTTCCCTTGAACATGGTGTTTTGTGGCAGCTGGGGCATTTCCCTGGGAGAGGGGTGATGCTCATTCAAGGCAGAGGAGGGACTGCAATCCCAGCCTGGGCGAATGCCTTCGCTGCTGACTCTGGTAAAAGGAGGGCAGTGGCGGCAGCACATTGAGTGATGCCTAAGCCTGGTGCTCAGGTTCTTTTGCTTTGCTTTGGGGAAGAGAAAGCAAAGTGATCGTGCTCCTAATGCCAAGAGAAATCCCAGCATTTACACTTCAGTTTTGATTTAAACTGAAACTTTTTTTTTAATGGCTTGGTTACTGAAGTGGAAAAGCAAGTGTTTGCACAGCCCTAACAGCAAGTGCTTAATGGATTTTGGAACTGGCATGACTCAACTTCTGATACGAAGGGCAAGTTTGAATCTTCTCATTTACGTAACCCCATGCATATTCGTGTCTTATCAAGATATAACCACCCTTCCTCCCCCCAAAATAGTTATAGTGACAAAATGTCCTGTGTGAGAAGCACAAGCAGTAGGGGGTACTGCTGCCTAAGGCGACGTCTGTGTCAGCAACACTTCACCAGTATAATGCATCGGCAAGCACTCCTAGCACAGATGCGGCTGCACCTGCAAAGCTCCGATTTGGACCAGAAAGGAGAGTGCCCGTGCTACAGGCCAAGCCAAGCCGTCTTGTAAAAGGGGGTGTGCTGGAGTACCTGTGTCTACACTAGGGGAGTCTGTTGGCACAGTTATGTGTTGGGAGAGTGCAAGGAGGTGTGACCCCAGACACAGCTCCCTTGACACAAGTCTGGAGCAGAAACCTGGCTTAACCGTTTTAACAAATGGTGGCCCTGCCTAGGTGGGGAATCTGGTCAATAAAGACTAATTAATGGACGGTTCAGAGTTGAAGTGCATGGACTCCTCGATGTGGCTGCTCTCATTTGGAAGTCAAAGTGGCTGCCTCTCTGTAGCCCAGACACCGTGAGCATCTGATGTGCTTCAAGGCCACTTTGACTTCCAAATGGGAGTGCCCGTATGGGGGACCACATGCATCCACTTGACACCACTAGAAAATCCTTCTTGTATCTCCCGCAGCTACAAGCTGTAAGGTGAGATCCTGGTTTCCTGAAGTCAATGGCATCTTGCCGTTGTCTTCAGCTGTCACTTCACCTTAACAGCACGCTTAGCTGAACCGATTCAACACCATTAAACAGCACAGCAAGGTCAAACTAACATCACATCATTAAACTACCGTTCATTATTCAGACTGAAAGAAGACTGAAGTCTGTAGTTTCTCTTTCTCTCTCTGCACTGTTTCCATTATACTTTTTTTTAATTCTAGCTTGGAAAACGGGTCACTTCTCCTTTGCCTCTGTTTGGTTGCCAGGGCAGTCGGTTTCATTTCCAGTTTGCAAGCATGGTGTAATTCTGCAGGGAAATCATTACTGCAGATTTCTAGTGCAATTAGAGTTGTGAGGACATTTCTATATGGAAGCTACATTTCCAGCAAATTAAACACTGGACTGGGTATGTCCAGTGGGCTTTGAACTTGGCAAATAGCAAATAGCAAACATGTAATTCCCACACGATCTAGTGTTAGAAGCGAGCAGCTAGACCGGCAAGTAATCTTTGTGCACTCACCTTGTGTCACAAGATAGGCCGTCAAAGAAACATGTCAGCAGGAGGTCATCAGCTGAATAGCCCATATTCACCTTCCTCTCCAGGGGAATTTGTGCCATGATGTTCATATAATGCAGTTTGTACCATTCTTGAATAGCGTTGACACCAGAACTGAATGTGTAAACTGCACAGTCGCTGCTGTTGTTTGGGTCACACTAATAATTAGAAAAGGGAAAATGAGTGTCAGGCGGGGAACATTTGGTGTATCATATTGAAGCATTTGCAATGTGGTTATTGCTCTATAATACTCCTCGCGCAGGAAATGTTTAGTGGCAGCAAAGAGATGAATGGGGCAGTATGGAGTGTGTCAGCCAAGGAAGAGAGGTTCCTCTTCTAAAAGATACAGGGTGGTAGCCTTCATGTAAGAGGGCTCTGTGCATCCTACAGGAAACCATTCCAGAAAGGTATGGGGAAGCAAAGCAGCCCACCTGAGAGTAAGTGACAAGTAACTTTTCCTTGGAGGATGCACTTCAGAGAATCGGTATGTTTAGCCCTGCAGAAGCACAACCAGTTGCCTGGTAGAGCTGATACAGGGGGTCTAGGAGGTGACCGTTTCGTGCTCCGGGGGGAAGGTAATGGGTGGCAGGAACAAGGAAGCAACCGAGGCTAGATTTCAGATGGTGTTTTCTCCCCAGTGGTTGCAGTAGGGAGTGGAACCTGGCAGAATGGAAATGCTCAAGGAAAAGCCAGAAGGATGTTTGCTCATTTTAAGTTGCACCCTGTGTCAGGGATTGGATGATGGATTGGGAGATGCCCTGAAGGTTCCCTTTATGCCTCACTGAAACCATGCTTCACTCCCACTCGGATGCTGCACTCGTCAGCCGGTCAAACAACACCCGCAAACTTTGGTGCGGCGCTGGCTCTAGCATACGCCCTCCCCGCCCAGCAACGCGCCCACTCACCAGCTGAAAGCCGATCATGTTTTGTGGATCCCCAATATTTGTGGACCCTTTGTGGAAGATGTTGGACTCGATTTTCCGCTTGTGCCCACTGTGAAGGTCGGTGGCTTCTTTCCTAGTGAGGTCCTCGAACCGGAGCAGCGGGACTTTCTCAAGGTATTGATACGCTGTCACATTTCGGTCCTCTGCATCCCGGCGGACCTTGGGTTTGCCTTCTGAAAACCCGTATAAAGACTCCAGTGCGCTTCTGGTCTCTTTGTCCAGCTCAGACAGGTACTCTTTTATCACGCTGTACCTGCATTGGGGAGAAGGGGACAGGAAATGATGTTTGCAGTGCTCTTCCAGTGTCAGCTCCTGCTCCAGTTCTCAATGCTGTTTTCTGTCCGCTGTTCAGCATGGGGACAGCCAGCTATTCCTCCCTCCCCTGCCTAGGCAGACTGAGCACTGACACGGTACCTGGTCTACTGCTGGGAAATGTTGTCAGTGGAATTCTTTGAACTGGCATGAGTAGTATCAGGATCGTGGTAAGATCACGGACAAAAATTGTGAACAGAGCTAGGCTGAGCTGTGGAGGAAGTAGTTGTAAAATCTGGACTCTAAAGGCATTGTCACGGAGCTGGAGGAGCAGGAGAAGCAGCAGCAAATAGTGTGGGTCTTACATTTATTGCTAAAGCAGGAGGAACTGCGAAGACTAGAGAGAAGAGTAAGATGGGTAGGAAATGGCAAAGGGATTCACCTTGGAAAAACGTACAGCAGCTGGCGGCGGGGAACAGGGTAGACAACAATCTGAGATGCAAAATCGCCAGTGGGCAAAAGCGCTGCATCTGAGCTGGAGCGGCTGAGGGAGACGAGGAAAGGGAGAGAGAACAGCGAAGGAGAAGCAAGAGGGCGGTGCGGATGGGCAGCAGGGAACCCGACAGCCCCTTTCTGCGTCCCTCTGAGACAGCGAGCCCGGGGTCTTGCCCCAGTACCCCGCTCCTGGGAAGAGGGAGCTGGGGGAAAGGCAGAGAAGTGACCAGGAGACAGATGTGCAGGTGTAGAAAGATTTAAAAGCACTCAATCCATCCAGCTCGCCTCGGCGCAGGACAGATGAAGCCCCCGATTACAGGTGGAGAACTCCGAGCAGCAGCGGAGGCTCCCTATGCCTGAGGAAGGGTGTTTGTGCCCGAAAGCTTGCAAAGAACTTTTTTCCTGCCTATTATCAGTCTAATAAAAGATATCACATTTACTGGAAAAACCTGGCCCGCCTAATAAAAGACATCACATCTACCCAAAGAACCTGGCCGAGTTACAAGCTCGGCAGAGAGGAAGAGAAAGGACTTCCCCCGACTATTCAGTTGGTCTAATAAAAGACATCACATGGACCCCCCAACCTGGTCCAGTTGCGAGCCAGGCAGGGAGGCAGAGGAAGGCCTTTTCCCGACCGCGGGGTGGGTGCAGGAGAGGCTAGCCCGTCTACCCGTGGGATGACAGGAGAGGCAGAGAGGTTCGGGAGGGAGGGAGGGAAGGCAAGGCAAGGCCCGAGGAGGAGCTGCGTGCGGGAGCCCCCTTCCAGCCCCGCTCGCTCGTGTCTTCCTGGGCCGGCGGCGCGGGCGGCCCGCACTCACTTGTAGGGGTTGATGTTGCAGATGGTGACGGCGGGGAAGCGCAGCTTCTGGAAGCGCACGGTGACGGACACGGAGGCGCTGTAGTAGCCCAGCACCAGCTCGGCGCACTGCCACAGGATGAGCGCCACGGCGCTGAGCGTCAGCGCGATCCAGAGCAGGCGGCGCAGGCGGCCGCGCGACACCACGATGCGGCGGCAGCCGTGCGTGTTGGTGTTCAGGCAGTACCAGCGCATCAGCT